ATCAGTAGTATTGCTATGCAAACTCCATAGAGGAGTTCCTACGTTTAGACATCATATTTTTCACATTGTTTACATTGGTCATCGCGGTATACCGTTCCAATTGAAAGAGAAGTAATGCATGCCAGATAAAGGGGCCTAGCAGACGTCTGTTTAGACGCTGTTCATCGTACCACTGCTTCCCGCGAAGTCCACTAATCGTACTGTCCGCTGCCCTTGGCTTCTCAGCAAACACACAAGCGAAATGAACTCGCTGATCCACCAACTGTTCCCCCGTCGTCTGCGAACTCAAGGTCAGCTACTGGACTCGATGCTAAACCTATCTAAGCTACTCTCTAGAAGCCTCATACACACCATCGGCACTTGTGCCAACCACTAAATCTGGCAATACCAGTTACTCAATCTTGTAAGGGATTTAACTCCCAATCAGGAGTATTGAACTAGTTTTGAGATTGCAATGCATGGAGCTAAGGAAACATAGACTGTTCCCGACTGGCCATGGTTTTGATTTTTCAAAGGGTTCTCACTTAAGATGGCCCAACTTTGAACTAGAACGAAATGTTTACCATCGATAATTTTAACTGCAGAATTAACCTCCTATTTAGATCAACCAATATTGTTCAATGATAAAGCAAAGGTTGACAAGCAGGATCTGGTTTATTTAATCAATTCTTCACGCGTCATTTCATTGATATGCGCTTAAAAACTGTGGTTTATATCAAAATAAGAGCAGTAGTCTTTACGGTCCATTATTTGTCATGCTTCAAGTGGAAAACTTTTTATCGATTTCATAGCTTCAACTTCTTATTTTGGATTAAATTTCACTCGTGAAGTTTCGTTTGGAGAAGAAGGAGGAGGAAAAATCAATTACCTTTTCTTTTCTTTCTTTAAGGTGGTCGTAACGAGTACGGTCTCCTTTCATCGGGAACTCCGAATGTGTACTCTTACGCCGCTCCGCTGAACTGGACGTTTGGATCTCCCTTCCCGATTTCTCATCAGCAAGTTGTATATTCACTAGATGGTGTGTGCTGAGCGAATCACATAAATCAGATAAGATGCCTATGAGTTCATCCATCTTTTCTTCTTTAGTGGGGGTTTGGCAGGTCTTGACATCGCCCACCTGTGAGACTTCAGGTTTCGGATTTGATGCCTTTTCGGAGACTACTGTGATTGCTCTGGCCGTTGACGCCGCCTTTGCTGGCTTTTTCCGCTTAC